CACACACACACACACACACACACACACACACACACACACACACACACACACACACACACACACACACACACACACACACACACACACACACACACACACACACACACACACACACACACACACACACACACACACACACACACACACACACACACACACACACACACACACACACACACACACACACACACACACACACACACACACACACACACACACACACACACACACACACACACACAACACACACACAACACACACACACAACACACACACACAAACAAACAAACAAGCAAACAAACAAACAAACAAACAAACAAACAAACAAACAAACAAACAAACAAACAAACAAATCCATACACAGAGACTCGCGCACAACGACCCGCGCACGCGCACAGAAAGAGGGACAGGCCCACACGCACACAGACACCCACACACACACACAGACGGACACGCACACACACACACACATACACAGAGATGTGCACTCAAGCACGCAGACACGCAGAGGCACACACACAGACACGCATAGACACACAGACACACCAACTCACAGACACGCAGACGCACAGACACAGACGCCCACGCAGAGACACACACACACACAGACACATAGACATACACAGACAGAATTGCAGACATTCGCACATAAGTTCGGCGCACAGAGGCTGCATTTACTGGGCTGATCATTTCGCCGCCAAAGTTTCCTTCTTCCCTCTGGTGAACTGGTGAACATCTCGATGCGTGATCTCCACAGCACGCTTGAGTCAGTCAGGGGAAAAGAGCAGCTGTCAAATGAGCCTCCGAAAAGGTACTTTTGCCTTCGGATCAAAGCTCACGGCTCATGGGCCCCAGGCCTGGTTCGAGAAGGATATTTGCCCGTTGATCAACAAGCGACGCCAGGCGAGGGGAGTCAGGGAGTCAGGGAGTCACGATGCGAAGGGGCCAAAGTGAAGCAATGATTGTTTGAGTGCGGGACAAGACTCTACTGTTGCTTTGGGAAGGATGAGAAGGGGGAACAAACCAAGTTGCTTACAAATCCGGGAGAAGACACAAATTGTCCATGTCCTCTTGGGGAAACAAACTGTTCTGTCCATGACTCACGTGGATTTTTGAGTGATGATTTGTGCCTTATGCTGCCTTGTGTACGGCTGCGCAGCTTTGCTGTAGACTTTGCCCTCCCTTTGGCCTAGAAGGTGATCGACATTGTGTCCCTCTGGTGGCTTGGTCTTAGTTGCACTTCGTCAAGCCTCATTAGAAACAAAGCACTGTGGACGTCTTTTTTCTGGGTCACTTGCAGTCAAATCTTCCCGGCCAGGACCTCTGTCCCAAGCAAAAGAAGGGCTGATTGCAATCATTTGTAACATGTCACATGATGATGCACATTGAACTCCCAAACAGCATTGAAGCAGGGATCCTTATTGGATTGGGGGCCAAAACCCGTTGGAAGATCCATGTTGGGCATCCACCTACTTTCGGACACCCGTCGAACAGTTTGTCCAAATCTCCCCAGAGGATCGATTGGCTCAGTCTCTATTAATCTGGCTGGCCCGAAAGACCCGACGTGATCTGAAGGCCCGGAAGATCTATTTGAAACCCCACGTGCGAATGGGCAAGGGTGTTCAAAGGTGCAACATGGTTTGAGCAAAGGAACTGCGACCTGGCAGAGGGATTCACTTCATGACTGAAAAGCTGGGAATGGTCCTTGCTAGTGGGTGGGGGCGGGTCCGATGGGTTCACCCACCCAGCTGTTAAACCTTTTTCCCAGTTCTTTGGCGAGTGCCCCCTTAACAATGGTGACCCCCCAAAAAACGAAGAATATAGGTTCCTAGTTTAGTTTTTGTTTGCTTGTTTGTCAAGAGGGCTGCGGGTTGCTTCGCTTGCATTTCCAGGAGTCCTGCAGCGTGACGGGCATGCAGAAGATCGAGGCGCTGCGAAGAGCGGCGGGCAAGGTGTTACTGCAGGAAAAGGCGGGCCGGACCGCTGGTGGATTGGGCGGTGGAAGAATCGTTTGGGGGAAACCCCGAGTAATCCGTTGGGGACATGTTCCTTGGACAAACGCAAGGGGGCCCCCCTCGACGTGTCGAATCCCTCTTCCCGAAAAGCGGCACACCCTGTGAGCTGCTGATTGGACGACGCGACGCAAACAGATGAGGTTTGCATAAAGTGCTCCGCCGAAGTTTGTAGCATGCGCTTGATAAGATACTCGTTCCCACCCTTGGCCGCTAGCCTCAATTTCGCAAACAACTTCTGGCCCTTGGATTGTTGACTGGCCAAGCGATTGGGGAAAAACGAAAAGGAAACGCACCAGGCAGGTGAACCGAAAGCCGCATCCCGGGGTTGCCCCGAGCAGCAACGGTACACAAGGTACAGCATCAACAGTCCAAGCAACGCATGCGCCGCTTTTCCGGGCTGCAAGTAAAGCTACAGCCGGGAGGGTGTGCGAATTGCTGCAGAACAGGCAAGTTTGATTGCGCTAAAGGGTGGCAACCGCACATGCTCCTCAGACACCAGTGCTCGCTGCACTCGGCACTGCCAGGCAGTGTTGCGGGCGCAGAGTCCGATCAAGCAAAGAAACCAGGTGCTGTGATGTGAACGGGTCCTTTTGCTGGTGGGGTCAACGTCTCTCCTTCATGAGAAATGCTGGCCAAGGCGTTCATGGTAGTGTTCATGCCCTGACCGCGGCGCCCAAAGCTAACAGCAAGGTCCCGTGGGCTGTGAGCCCATTTAGTTTTGGGCTGAAGGATGCTTTTTTTTGTGTGATGTTGTGCATGTCAGGTTTTCTTCCCGTTTTGACAGGATGCTCTCATTTTCAGATTTCTTGCTGGATTAGATATTTCCCGCTGTATGGCGGAGGCGCGTTCCGGAAGAAAGGTCGGTTTAAGCCCGGGAAGAGACATTTATTTAGAGTCTTGCCGGCACAAATCGCTCGGCCTCATCCAGGTCTCTTCCCTGTGAACCTGGGCAGCAGTTCGCGCACTGCAGACTGTTTTCCCGAAGCCAGGCGCCGGTTTTTTTTGGTGTGTGTGTGTGTGTGTTGGGGGGGGAGGCTGAAATTGTTCGAGGGGCGAGAGTGCCGCCCAAAGACAGGCGAAAAAGGGCTAGTAGGTCTGAAGTTCAGAGCGTGCTCTCCATGGCCGGATTTTTGAGAAGGCCCCTCAGGTTTCATATTGTTTGTTCTCTTTGAGGGATGCAAGTGTTGATGTGGTTGTCATTGCCAGCGTCGTCATCGTCGTCGTGGTTGTTGTGGTTGTTGTGGTTGTCGTGGTTGTTGGGGTTGTTGTTGTTCTTGTTATTACGTCTTCTTCTTTGTCTTCTTCTTCTTCTTCTTCTTCTTGTCGTCGTTGTGGTTGTTGTTGTGGTGGTTGTTGTTGTTGCTGCTGTTGTTGGTGGGTGGGTGGGTGGGTGGGTGGGTGGGTGGGTGGGTGGATGGGTGGGTGGGGGGATGAGCATCAAAAAACAATTATTTTGGGGATCAACAACAAATTATTTAGGGGATCAAAAACAAGTTATTGAGACCTAGTCTCCTTTCTTTCCTGGTTTCCTGGTCCTGGTCTCCTGGTCCTCTGGTCTCCTGGTCTGCTGGTGTCCTTCTCCTGCCTTTTGCTGGTCTGCTGGTCCCTGATGCGCTGGTCTCGTCTCCTGGTCTCCTGGTCCTTGGTCTCCTGTGTCTTGTCTCCTGGTCCTTGGTCTCCTGGTCTCCTGGTCTCCTGGTCTCTTGGTCTCCTGCTGGTCTCCTGGTCTGCTCTCCTACCCGAAACCGACCCTAAACCAAACTACACCCACCCTAAACCAACCCAAAACCAACCTACAAACCAACCTTGAAATCGACCCTGCGCAACTTTTAAACCAACCCTAAAGCCGCCCTAAACCAACCCTAAACCAATCCTTAACCCACCCTAAGCCAACCTAAATCCACCCACCGTAAACAAACCCTAAACTCCCTAAACCTACCCTAAGCCAACCTAAAACCACCCTAAACCCAACCTAAACCTACCCTAAACCAACCCTAAATCCACACTAAACCCGCAAACCAACCCTAAACCCACCCTAAACCTTCCCTAAACCTACCCTAAGCCAACCTAAATCCACCCACCGTAAACAAACCCTAAACTCCCTAAACCCACACTAAACCTACCCTAAACCAACCTTAAACAAAACGTAAACCGGCACTAAACCCAGCCTAAGCCCACCCGAAACTACACTAAACAGAGCCTAAACCAAACCTACACCCACCCCAAAAACAGCCAACCTAAGCCAACCCCAGACCCGCCCGAAACCTGCCCGAAACCTACCCTAAATTATCCATAAACCAACCCTAAACCCACCTTCAAGCCCCAAACCAAACCAAGCCTTAGCCCAGCCTGGGTGTGGGTGGGTGGGTGTGGGTGGGTGGGTGTGGGTGGGTGCGTGGGTGTGGGTGGGTGGGTGTGGGTGGGTGGGTGTGGGTGGGTGGGTGTGGGTGGGTGGGTGGTGGGTGGGTGGTGGTGGGTGGTGGGTGGGTGGTGGTGTGGGTGGGTGGGTGTGGGTGGGTGGTGGTGTGGGTGGTGGTGTGGGTGGTGGTGTGGGTGGTGGTTGGGTGGGTGGTGGTGGGTTGGTGGTGGGTTGGTGGTGGGTTGGTGGTGGGTTGGTGGTGGGTTGGTGGTGGGTTGGTGTTGGGTTGCGTTGGGTTGGGTTGGGTTGGGTTGCGTTGGGTTGGGTTGGGTTGGGTTGGGTTGGGTTGGGTTGGGTTGGGTTGGTTGTCAATGTCGTTGTCGTTGCTTGCGGTGGTGTTGTCGGTTTGGTTGTTGTGGTTTTTGGGGTTATTAAATCATTAGGGGTCATAAGCGTTGACAACTTCGATGGAGCCATGAGCATTGTCAGCCTCCATGATTTCATGAGAGTTGACAATCTCGATGACATCGTTGTCAAACCATGACATCATGAGCGTTGCCAACCTTGTTGAAATGCAGAGCATGCAGAGCGTTGCCAACCTCGGTGAAATCCATCAGCGTTGCCAACCTCCATGAGCCATGCGAACTGCCAACCTCGATCGCTGCTCACCTCGATGAAAGCATGAGCGTTGCCAACCGCGATGAAATCATAACCGATGCCAACCTGGGTGAGCCCAAGAGCCTGCCCACCTCGATGTTGGTTGGTGGGAGGGTAGATTTGTTTGAAACTCTTGACAGGTTTCATCAGCTATCTCAGACTGTGTCAGGGACCAAGCGACCAACCCTTGAAACGTATCAGACCATGAAGCGAAATCTAGACCTAGATGGGCTCTTTCTGCAAAGCCTTTGGGCAAGGGAGACCTGCGTTGGGCGCAAAGCTTGCGACAGGCGCCGTGGCTTCTTATTTTTAAAACCCGACGCGGTGCATGAGCACCGGACTGACTGTTTCTGGGCGGGCAGTAAATTGTCGAGTTTTCCACGGGCTCAAGCGTGGAGTAGCCTGGCCGTTGGACGGCCTTTTTGCCTGGACCTGCGCGGCATGACCAGCGCGGTGGTCTTGATCATTCTGAAGCCCCTTGCCGCTGTCTTACGGCCTAAGGCCGAGATGCGGCATATTAGCAGAGGGCTCTGGACAGCGCTGCAAAATGTTTGATCGACAAAGTTGAGCTTAGAGCAAGCCTGGTCGAGTTTGCTGTTTGGCTGGTGTGTTCGGAAGCTGTCACGGGCGCTGTGCCGATAAGTGGTGAGCGTATTTAGTCCCAAATCCAGTGCCTGATTGAGCGCTTTCCTTGCTCGGACTTGGAAGACTTGTGACGCAACAAACTCCGCGCTGCGCTCCATGTTTGTGTCGAGTTTCCAGGTGAGGTCCATTCGGGTTACTTTGCGCGGCACAATGAACTGAGCCAGCCGGCCGAACCTGGCGGAGATGTTTCCCCCCATAAGGTGTCTTGTTTTGGGTTGCAGGCAGGTGAGCCTCAGTTCTCTCCAGTTTTTTTTTTCTCTCGCAGGAGGCCTGCCAGCAGCAGAAGGTCCAGTCCTTCCCAACGGTGAGGCGAGTTGCTTTGGTTTCGTGGAACCATTTGGGTCAAAATCCAAATCGGTTACCCCCCGTCATCAACCAATCCAACCACTGAAATAGGTTCTAAAATGGGTGGTGAATTCACCTACCCCAACATGGGATCCCATTGGTGTTGACCCACTCCTGAGGTAGATTGGGCACAAGGCACGCACCTGAGCAGCTCTGCCCCAAACAAGCGACAGTTGCAAGCCGTGAGGCGGGCTGTGAATGACATGTGCCGTGGTCGAACCAAAATCGTGCCGAGAAAAACTCGAAGGTAAGTTTCCCATGGAGAAGCATCTGCCTGTCGAGCAACGGTAAGGCCGCCTGCGACCTCTTGCTTGCATTTTGCTCTTTTGAATGCGTGCAGGAAGTGGGTAGGGATCTTCCTGGGTTGTGCAGTGTCCCAAAAACGGCATCCCTTTCCAAACAGCCTTTATTTGAATTACATGCTCGCTCCGACAGACCTGGATACTGTGTAGAAGACTCGGAAAACCTTGATACACTGTAAAAATCCAGAGGTATCTGGTCAAACTACATGCAGCTCGGGTATGACGAGCTCACTTATCAAGGTCCGTTACTGGATTCCTTTTCCAGATTTGGAATAGCAATTGGCGCTATGTAACGTGAGTTGCCTGAGAGTCATCTCATGAACCGGGATGCACATGCAAAGTCAAGGGCACCATTGGGACCCGAGTCGGCGAGGCTCTACCGGCGAGGCAGCGCGGGGAAGAACTGGGCGCGCCTGGCATGCGTTTCGTGGTCCGCGAACTTGGGGGCTGCATGGTGACGGCTTGACTGCGGCTCGAATTCTGCAATTTGAGGTTCAGTAGATATGGGACAGATGAAGCAAGATTACTAGTGTTATCATTTGATAAATTCCCCCCCCTTCCCCCCCTCAAGGTTGGTCCAGACCCTGGGCTTCCATGCGATTGTAGAAACTAAGCCTGTGCTTGTTGGAACAAAAAGCTGAGGCTGTTCAAGCTGGTCACGGTGAGCAAAAATGGGTGAACAAACTGCACTCGTTTCCTTTTGGTCCGCCTTTGAAACCATCCAGAAAGGGTCTGAGACAGACCAGAAGTGTTGCTTCCTTGTGGGGCTCGTAAGGTGCCAAAAAGGTTGTCGCGAATTTGGACGCCGAGCTGCGTTTCCGCCGGTCAAAACTTGAGCCACTTGGGCACATGCCAATCCATCCAGATCGGGTTCGAATATGATGTTGCTGGTTCCCCTGCGCGAACCGCCGCATGAAAACGGCGAAGCCCCCAGCCTTGTGTCGTGCTTTTTGGAGGAAAGGGCGCTAGCAGCAAACCACATAGGAGTCCCAGTTTGCTCCGTGGCCGCCAGGCGAGTAGATGACAGAAAACAAGTTGTAGGAACAGACCATTACTGACAGGATCATTTTTCTGTCTGGCAACATGCAATGGACACACGGCACAATGGCGCTTGAGCACTTCTTTGACAATGATGTGAAGAAAACACATCAATGAGTGGTGCGGTGCTTATCTTGCTGTGAGGCACACGGCTATAGTTCCTCAAATTGAGCAACAGAAAGCAAGCGCGTGGCAACCAACGGAGAAGTTCTGATGTGTGTTCATCGCCAGGTTTTGCCCAAAGAATGGTTTTGGTCTGGCCAATCCGTATGCTGAAGTGTGTGGTCAAGATGGGGGACGTCGAACAGGATTTAGGTTTCCTTTGGGGTCTCGAAAGTATGGCGCGTGTCCAGCGGGTTGGGTTTCCTTCAAGAGGCTCACTTGAAGCACCTCATTGCGCCAGGCGGACTTCAGGGGAAAGCGCCAGGGCGAGGCCGGGGAGGGGCATCTGGGTTTTGGCATGCGCAAAACATATCCAGCCCGGTTGAAGCCTCTTGAGAAAACAAGCAATGGGTTGACTAAGACATTTCTGGTGGAATTGGGGGGGGTCCCCTTTTCGAGAGGAGCCTCACGGCTTTGGGCGACCCAAATAATCCA